TGGTACCACACTTAAGTTTTACAGTGTAGCACACGTTAAATGTGGAAGTGCCCATCTAACTATTCAAATAATGCTGCTGTGACTGTCATAGCTACCTGTGGGGGACTAAATAGATAAAAACCAGCCTACTTGTATGTGATACTTTGGAGACAAAAATAAAACATGATGGCAGGGACTTCTCTTACTGGAGACTGGAAATACATAAGCCAGAGCAGACATACGAAGTTACACACTGGGAGTGTAACACTTAACAGTACCACAATCGGATCAACATGTCCAGGAAAATAAAGCACTGGCTCATTTTAACCCTGTTTTTTTGGCTTCCCGTGTTCAATTAAAAGGTAGTAGCAAATAAAGTTATTTAAAATTATGCATCATTTTTGTTAGACTGGGCCACTGACTAAGTCTATCTGAACAGAGTTCTGGAGAAAATCTAGTTATAAGACTAGAGTCAAGTAAACAGAATTATTTTTCTTGTATTGAATTACTACTCGGGTATTCATGATACTACTCAAGTATGTAAATACTCAGTTATTGAAAATGATAACCACTGAAAACGGGATTCCATTTTAAGCAACCCATAATTCTAAAAGCAACTATTATCCACAACTTGGTTACATTTGAAAATAAAGAGTTTATATATTATATACAACCTATGATTGTTCTTTTTTGCCACAGAAGGCAGAATAAGAATGGATTTAAATAGTAAAGTAGATTTCAATTAAATCAGGAAAAACCGGCTAACTTAAAACAATAAGATGATAACAAAGCTGCTTAGGGAAGTCATTGAATCTCTCACTAGATTTTTCAAGAAACTAAACAGGATGCCTAGGATGATTTAGGAACTGTACATCCTGTATCTATGCATAAGATTGGACTAGATCAGTAGCTCTCTGATACAGTAAACGAGTAAGTTGATCAGTTCTCAGTTCATGTGCATTGGAATTGTTGGGATGTAGATGCTAAAAGCATGCATCTACCAAACAGAAACCTTTGTTAAAAAAGAAAAGAAAAAAAAAAAA